CAAGGACGCTACTAGGGCCTCCTGGCATCGCTACTAGGAACAAGAAGGGCTCCTGGCCTTGGTAGTGTGGTAATCTGAGCCGCTCCTGAAACATCTCCTTGCTGTCAGCATGCAAGCGGAGCCCCTGCCAACGGAAAGACACTGGGAGTTGAACCCGTTGAAGGCGACCGGTTGCCTCAAACCACCGGAACCAGCATTCCATACCTACTTGAGCCATGCAAGCCTTCAAAATCCACGTCGGTGCTTTGCTCATCTTCGAGGTTTTGGGTGCGTTTGAGGCTTTGAGTGGCCCAGCCTTGCCGGGGAAGTATTGTCGCACCATCACCTGAAGCAATTCATCTCCATAGTCCTTAGATGATTTCAAGATGCGGTGTCCAGTTCGGTGGGTTAAAGGATCAACACCATCCTACATCCTGCGGTCCTGCTCCCTGGAGTGGACCACGGTCCCCAGCACCGTGCCGTGGATGGCTTGGTGTTTCCCGGATTTCGCTCATCAGCCGGTGGTGGTCTGAATTTGGCTCTGTCGGTTACCAAGGGTGGTTGATGGTGGTTTGGGCAGTGAGTACTTGTGGGGGCTAGGTGCAGGGGGTCAACACGTGCGCGACAAGGCACCTTGGGGTCAATGTCGAACTCCTTTTGCGTCAGCGTCATTAAATGAGCACAAGCTGGGTAGTTTTCGGGCCCTGGCAGCCTCCTGGCAACGTCTCACCCGAGATCGATCCGATTCGAAAGGGCCAGGCCATTGTGCTGGTACTAGTAGCTTCTTGCTCCGCTGGTAGCGATGCCCTTTGTTCCTAGTGGCTTCTTGCTACGGCCAAATGACGACACCAGATTCGACAGGACCCCAAAGTGACAGGAGGTGTGACAGGCAGAGCCTTCCCGTGGAGTCCTCAGTTGACCTCCGTCTCGTCCTCCACGGAGAGAGGAGAAGGAATAGGTCATCTCCAATTTTCGCTGATCTGGCCGCATCTGCCGTTCCAGTTCGAGCCTTGCGATCATTCATGGGAAGTTCAGGAAATGAGGTGGCTCAGGTGATATAGCTATGTGATATACTATGGAGTTCAATTTGCATACTATGTGTACACATGTGTACACTCAGGGAATCATGTTGGTGATATTCTATGTAGCTATGCAATTCAAAAGACATCCAACATGATTTCCTGCGATGCTTTTGATCTACTGTCTCAGGTGCAAATTTTGGGGTTGTTTCTCTTCGGACAAAGGTCTATCCTGACATGAAAACATAGCGTGAGAAAGGACCGGCTGATAGCAGCTGGATCGTGTTTGCCTTGCGTTCTGTGCAGCTGGAAGTGGTAGCTGGACGTGCCGCAAGCCCACGGGAATTGCTTCACATCCTGAAAAGAAGCTTAAGCGCAAGAAAGGATCTTTCAGACTTCAGGAGCTGTCCATTCCATCTTTCCAGGATACCTTTGCCAAACAAACTCCTAAATCAATCGAAATGCATTGCTGCATGAGGACAGAATCGCTGGGGGCGACTGTCAGGACAATCAAAAAGTTCTATGAAGTAATTCTATCGTCCATTTAAAAACAAAGGGCCCTTGCTCTTGCCAAGCCAGTGACCGTCTCCGAATTTTCTCCCCCCCCGTGGCTGCACCAAAACGCCCTGTCCTGAGCTAAGCCATAGGAATAGGACATACCAATGAAGTGCTCCATCTCGCATAAGCTGGCTGGCTAAGAGTGTGAAATCCAAGGCCGTCCAAGTCCGATTTGTGGTTTCTCGGTTCAATGAACAGTGCCGTGGAACTTTCTCAGAAACCGAATAGGAAGTTTCACGGAGGCCAATCCCTTTCCATATATATACATATATAATTATATATATATATATCTTTCCATTTGGCACTTCACTGAGCCGATCCAGTCTTGGGAGGCTTGTCTCCGGCTTGTTGTGAATCTATCCCAGCGCTTTGCCAAAAATGCAGCTCTTCATTCAAACCGCATCTCACCAATGCTGACATCCATGCAAAGCACAAAAATAGACTTTAGGTCGAAGGGCAGTATTTCAAGGAGTGCTGCTATGATGCGCTATGTGCCGCTGCTAGTTCAATTGTGGCTCAAACATGAAGCTTGAAATGGCCACAACCAGAAAACAGAATGGATCGACCCGACTCACCCCTGAGCTGTTTTGCGGCTTGCTCCGGTGGGAAGGAACGCTTCCAAAGCTCCTCGACCCCTTCTCTTGAGTGGCTCCAACCGTGGGCTCTCCTAAAGAAAACGAAAGACAAAACGAGTCGTCGAATGACACAGCTCGAAGGGCCGAAGCTCAACACGAAAACCACGCGTTTTTCTGACGGGGACCGTTCGACGAGGTTCACGCCACTGGGAAATCACCATGTTTCCCCGGTGTCTCCAGCGGTTATTCCTGGGTTGTAGCTGAGTGCCGCTAATGCCATTCATTTAACACACCAGGCTTTTGATCTTTGCAAGTCCTGATCCGTATTTCTATGATAAGAACAACTGAGATCTGATGATCTGGCTCTCTGAAATTACAACTGCATGTGAAACAACTGACAAAGAATCCTGCCTTGCCTACCTTCTCTGCTCTTGCGAAATTGTAAGTCAAGGACCGGATGAAGAAAACGCCATAAAACGCCATCTGGAAATGGCTGAACAAAGAGGATTCCCCTACAAAAACTAGTTCGGACATAGCAGTCATGTTTAGACCAACACCTATACTTTTTTGGTTGTCTTTTTTGCAAGTCATACTAAGTCATAGCTTTAGCCAAACTGCCAAACAAGAAGTCACCAGATCAAGTCTGAGAACCATCCTGCCAGCTCCTTGGACCATCTGACATTTGGGGTATTTGGGGCAATTGACTTGAGAACCGGGAAGCCCTGGTTTTTGAGTGTTGAAGCTTTCATGTTCATAGTGGTCACTCAGCTTACAACCCCCCCCGAAGCTAAAGATCAATTGAGCAAATTTCACAAATGAAACACTACAGGCGACGTTCAACTCACCACGAAAGCGTGGAAGCCTGGCAAGAGAAAAAAGGCGTACAAAACCCAGAACATCAGGAGAAAAGCATCGTGCTCTTAAACGGACTCACTGCTCAGTGTGGCGCAATGGCCAAGGGTTCCCAGTGCGTCCAAGTGCTGGGGCAAGACTCACCCAACCAGAACTAACCCAGCTTGAGGCATGACTTGCTACACACAGTCAACCTTTCACACAGGGCGACTTCAAATGGCGTTTCCAACACACCCAAATAAACATTTTAAGACCGGGACAAGTTCACGATGTCTATGTATATTTTTGATTGTCAGTTACAGCTTAGTTTTTGGTATAAACGTTCTCTCTCTCTCTCTCTGTCGGACTCCAGTGGAAGAGAAAAGGAGATATTTGGACGATGGCCAGTTCCAATCTCTGAGGCGTAGGACACTCCACACTCTTCATCCGTAGCGTAGGAACATCAGCAACCTGCAAGGATCACAAACAGGACCGCCAAGCCACATCGTCAAAGATAGAGGACACCAACACGGGACTTCTATGCTTCCTAGCTGGTGCAGGCTGTTGTCCACCAAATAGAGATGTGTCCAAACATGTCCAAACTCATCGATGGGCTGTTCAACTGTTTGTTGAGGAAAGTCAACAGGATGGTCAAAGGGAGTATGTAGTCACCTTCGATGATCACTTCAGGATCTTTTGACCAACCACCACGACCAGTTCTTCTCTGCTTTCCTTTCTCGCAAAAGGTAATACCTGATCATATATATATATATAATACATCGTATATCGTATACACCCAGAAAAGCGTGCCAGCCAGCCCCACCCCCCGCACCTTTGGCGGATTTCGTCTTCAGGGCGGTCCACCTGGCTACGGATGTCGCTGGTTGGATTATATACTCAGATTGGCTGGTTTGGAGCTCTGAAGTGGATCCATTTTGAGCTCTGTTGCTGATTGTTGCTCCTGCTGCGGAGAGCTCAAGTCCCCGATTTGGGCGGGGCATCGAGGTTTGACATGCAGCCACAACGGCGAGTAAATGCATGTTAATGCATCGTTTGATGCACTAGTCATGGTTTCATTTTGCCTACAAATAGAAGTTTCGCCGATCCAAAAAATTGCCAGAACAGGGATGAACAATTCCAGTCGCTGTCGCTGTAGAAAAACGTGTTGGATCATGTTGGTGACTTTTGCTCAGTGAAGCCTGTTTTTTTGCATGCTTATGTTTGCTAGAAAAAAACAGGACATGTGTCCAGTTTCCCATAGCTCGTGATGCTTGCCACCCAACCCACTGCGGCCCGAGAAGTATGTCCGTCCGTGCTCTCGGTGACCGGACCAGTGCGCCCAGGCCCACGTTGTGCAGCGCCACGTTCAACTGAGTTGAATCCGCACTATGGACCTGAGAGGTCGAGAAAACACCCCCAGGCAAATCACTGACTTCTTCGATACTTCGAGAATATGCCAAAACACCAGTAAGAACGGACACACAGAAAGACCCTATGGAGGACGTAATTACTTAGTGTGAGGCAGCAGCAGCAGCAGCAACAACAGTTAGCCCCACAGGTCTCCCATGGAGCTGGCCTGCAAATGATGATATTAGTACAGTCTGCAGCATGCAAAGACGTACGCCCTACAAAACGTCTCCCGTTGGCGTTTGGATGAAGGTCGCTTATGCATTTTGCTTGCTTGATCAATTGATATCCGGCTACAGCCAATCAGCTCCTGTGATTCCATTCCTACAGCCTACACCGGCAGTTAAACAGTCATTGTGACAAGAAGCAAACCCTTGCATCACACTTTCTCTTGCAATTGTGTTTTTGCCTGTCAAAGGCTTGAAGCAGAATATCCCAGGCTCAAAATAGATCAGTTTAGATATAAGATGATTTATACTATATATATTTAATAGTATATAATAGTATATATATATATACATCTACTTTCTTCACTGAGATTCCAAGCAGCACCCTCATCTGAGCCTTCGGCCCACTGCACGGTCATCCCGGTCAACTTGCAGTATCTCTCCCTGGCGTTCCCAGCGGGGTATTGGTTGACGCCCTTCTTGAACGTCTCCTGGGCGGGTGAAATGGCGTGGCAACGCGGGGTGAAAACCCAAACGACCATGGAGCTTGCACTCGTGTCGTTGGAACTCCCCCTGGATGTGTTTGTGAGCTTAACAACATGGTGTCATTGGCTTGATTGGATCTTGTTGAGTCTTGCTTTCTGGCCATCCCAATCAAGATCAACTGCTGCGATCCAGCCTTCTTGAGACCTCAAGGGCCTTGCTATTGAAGTAGATCACTAAGCTAACTGTACAAATCCAAAGCTTCTCAAAAGTGATCCATGGCGATCAGTCCAACTGTGGCTCTGCGAGGACACGAACTCTGCGATGCCCACGATGACTAAAGTGGTCAGGTGCAAAGGGCCCCCCGCTTGGCCGGTGAATTTGCTTCTGGATCTATTTTTCGAAGCCCCGCTGATCAGTAGTTCTCAACAAAGGCCCTGTGCGTTCTAAGAGATGGTCAGACAGGGGGCGCGGCAGCTCAAAACTAGCTTCAGACAGGCATCTTTGTCTTTCTTCCCCCAAAGCTGGTTGATGTGGAAGAACTTCTTCCCGGCTCTTAGCGCCTTGGACAGGTCACAGCTAGAGTGCTCCAAAGACCGGCGTAAGAACTTCCTACGTAATTACAAAACGATGGTGCTAAAATCGATCCACAAAATTCTAGAGGTGGAGACGGAGAACACAGGGAAAACCTGCAAGTGTTCCACAGGTTGTACATGCCTTGAGTCAGAGAGTCTGACGGACAAAAATTCATCCGAAAGGGCCTGGCTGCCTGACCAATTCCTGACCAAACAAACCACAGGTGGGCTCCCGCGACGAGAACTCGCCTCATTGATTTGGCGCTCCAGGTCTTCCAAATGTTTCTGGCTGGTGGAGTCTTCCACCTCCGCTGGTTTGGACCAGGAGAGGGAGGTGGGATTGGGGTGGGAGATGGGAGAGTGGTGGTCCTATATGACGGGATAGGAGATGTCGGAAAAACGTGTGATTGGGATTGACGGGGTCAATTTTGAGATGAGTTTCGCTCCACCTCAGGTTGAACTGCTAGTCAAAGTTTGTGTACCAAACTGCTGCAAAAATCCTGTCACACAATTCAGAGCTGCCTCCTCATTTCATGTTGAACTTTTGCAATCTATCGGTAGCAATGGGTGACTCCAAACTAATTACAAGCGATTCACTCTATACTGACGCGCTCCCTCCGTCTTCGACCACTCCGACTTCGCCCTTGGCTCAGCCCTGCCCCGGCCTCAGCCTTCTTGATGCGCGCGGCAAATTCCGCCTCCATTCGGGCCGCGTTCGAACAGGTATACAATGGGTCTGCGTTCGGAAGGTGAACTACTATCCCATATAGTTTGGGTGTGGTTCTGGGGCATGAACAAACTCTCATGATCTCCCATGTGTCATAGAGTCTCCACAACGTGGAAGGAGGGCATCAAACAACAATTCCTTCGCCATGCTACCTTTTTGTGTGAGAGATTGTGAGAGCGTTCTCAGCCCGACCAGTGGGTCTGCAAACTGGAGAATCCAAGCGATGATCCAGTCTGGCCATCAAGAGACTTGTTGGATGCCAACATGCTTCAGGAAAAGAAGGCGGATGCCCCATAGATACCTGATACAATGTACCCTGGCAAGATAGTCTACATGATGCGTCAACAGGGGTCCGCAGAATTGACATGGGGCTGAAGGAGTTCATCACCGGACCACGCAGAAAACATCATGCCGCTTGGACATCACCATGACTATCATATCAAAGGGATCCAAAGGGATCCAAAGCGGCTCGCGATCAAGAGCCTTCACCAACTACCCAACCCTTCGCGGAAACAACCCCTTTCGAGAGGCGTTTTCCCATGTGGTTCGACACGAACAGTCCTTGAACCAGGGACGAAGAAAATATGTTTTCATGCGTAGAAAAGCCGGCCTATCTCAAAGCACGTTTTTCCAATCCAGGTTCTCCAAACGAAAACCAGGGGACCCATACCAGGGGTCGGCATCGAACTCACCCAACTCACCTTGTCGGCCCGAGATCGGCGCCTGCTCTTCCGCTGAGATCTGCGAGACCGTCTTCTGCACCACGGCATCCACCGCGCGTGTGCGCACCGGCTCCCGGGTGACCTGCCCCACGAGAATTTCCGGTGGCGACGTAGACAGGTCACCATCTCTGATGTTTCAGCAAATCACCGGAAATGGTCTGTTTTATATCATTGAGAATTTGCTGCAAATGGTCAGACATTGTCAGTGAAGGCGGTGCCTCCTTGCGACAAACAGGGCAAACGAACTGCTTCGTTTGCAACCACTGGTCGATGCAAGACCAGCAGAAGGTATGAGAGCACTGGATGGTCGCCGCATGGACAAGCCAGTCCTGACAGTCCATGTCATGTATCTTCGGTTTCCGACTATTCTCTTGGAAAGAATCTATCAAAACATACAGTATCTAAACCAAGCACAGCACATGAAGTAGCCGATGACTTGAACTCAAAAGTAGGCTACATTGGTTGCAACCCAGCCAGCCTTCCATGGTGGCCCTAAAAATCTCTCTCCCTGGCCAGCCCTGCACTCCTTGCAGACGCAGCAGGCCAACTCATTGGAGAGCTCCGAGATCTTCAAGCCCTTGGGAATCGCCTGCGGTTTTGAACAAATCAGCTGTCTCACACTGGTCCTCCGGTCCCATCGAGGGAGGGTTTTTCAGACTCTGGATCGCTACAGTAGTCACCATAAGTCTGTTTGCTTGATGTTTCTTCCACCGTGTCCGTGGAACCTCCAAAGCGAGTCGTGTCCGAGTGTCCGCCGCCTCGCGCTTCTTCTCGGACTTTTGAAGCTCCTGCGATGAAGCACGTGCTCGCGTGGAGCACGTGCTCGCGTCCGTTCGTGCTGCGTCCGGTCTGACCGGGGTTCGATTCACCATCTGGGAGGGGGCCGCATCACACGGTGAACCACACATGGGAGTTCCTAGGGCTGTCGTCAGCAGTGGTCCAGTCTCCCAGTCACCGAGTCGAAACAGCTTCACTTGAAAAAGTAGTAACACTGCATAACACTGCTCCTGGATTTGTTCCCTGTCCCCATGATGCCTGGGGCTTCACGGAAATTGATGCTGGGGGAATCATTGGGACATGCCTCCTTTCAAGTGTCTTTCTCGCGGGCCAAAGCTAAGCCTAAACGCTCAAAGCATTTGGTGCGGGATCCAGTGCTGCTGTCATCTGAGCTGAAACATCAGCGCTGCTGTCGCAGTCTGAGTCTGTGATGAAGTAACCAGCTCTCTTCAGAGTCTGTTGATATCTGTTGCCTCACATGATCTGTATCGCCTTCAAAAGAGTCTGTCGCTTTCACCTCCAACAGATGCTGTTTTACCTCACTTCCACATTCTCTGTATCGCACTTCATATTTGGGGTCCAGCAGCAGCATGGTGCTCGTGGTGCTCTGGTGTGAACATTCAAGATCCGACCCACTCTTTTGGCAAAGTACATGAAACATTTAGTCATTACCATATGTATAATTTGATATCAACATAAAAAGACTTCTTGGGCCTCTGGGTGCCGAATCAAGCATTGGTCCTGCTCCAGATCAGCAATCCGCTTCATCTGCACCAGCAACTGGCAGCGAAACTCAAAGGTCAAATGGCGTTTTCAACTCAAAGAAAAACACATGATTCATGTCAACCATGGTCCCCTGCGGTAAATCGGAACTGATAGGAACTGGTATCTCCATCTCCTTATGCGGAGGGACGAGTTCTGCCACCTTCTGCCACCCTGGCTACACCCTCTGCGGCGACGCCGGCATCATCGGCTCGGCCTCTTCTGCTAAGCCGCTGCTTTGTGGCGCCTGAGACACCAGTGACGCGAGAATCAGTTCACTGCAAAACAGCTGGGGGGGGACCTGAGAGCTGATGGTGACTTGGCTGGATGGTGTCCACCTCAACTATGGACTATGAGCCAGGATCTATGGACTATCCTGAATCGATGGCCCGCCAGAACGACCAGTCCAATAAGCTTTGTTTGGGGTCAATTGGGATCGTGCACTCTCAAGAAAAATTGGCTATTGTACCCCCCTTAAAATCGTTAAAAATTTTTGGGGTGACGTCAAGAATGGTATTCTGTAGTGATGGGTGTGAGGAACTACAATATGAAATGACTCACCTCATCTTCACTACAAACATCTGAACGTCACCTGGGAACGTCACCCAGATTGATCCAATCGCTGCGTGGGTTAAGTCACTTCAAGGGTCTTCAAATGTTTTGGCATGGAAGCCAGATCTCAGATTAAAGATTAAACTTGATTGGCCACCACTCATGTCACTCACGTGACTGGACTGGGTTTGTGGCCCCCCAAACCACCACTGAACCTATAGGCCCAAGTTACCCAGCGATTGGATACCTGGATCACCTGCGCCGATGGTGCCAAACCGCCCAACCTTTCTTCCACCCATCCACCACCGTTCTCTTCGCTGGTCTTTCCCCCCCCAGAACCCGACGAAACCGCTTCCGTCCGGCCGCTTTCGCCGCGCCTCGAAGATGAACTCAAACTCCGGCGGAACCACGCGTTTCCCGAAGTTCACCACGTCGCCCATCCGCAGCGTCCTGCGGTGCAGTGCGGAAAACGTGGACGCAAAGCACCGCAGTCCAACCAGCATCCAGCTCAAAGCATCCATTCAAAAGGGGCGGGATGAGAGTCTAATGACACATTGGGCCAGCTGGCACTTCGGGAAAAAGAACAAAACAGCTACTGAGGAGGACACATTTTTTGGACTGTTTCTTCATGCCTTCTTTTGGATTTGGGGGAAACACTTGTGCAGGAGCCAAGCAAAAATCTGACACAACGTCATCTGGATGATGTGCATTATGGGAGACCGTCTCCGCCCTATTACCAATAGACACACCTATCCTATTTGATGTGGCGAAGTCACAACACCGTTTCTTTCAACATGCAATATTCCAACAAAAACAAGGTGGCCCAGAAGGATGTTGGCTCAATTGACCGCCATTTTCACTGGCTGATGTTTCCTCACCGACAAAAGACAAAGACGTGGTCTGTCCTGCCCGAGACGCCAACAGCTTCGCCATTCACGGTGACACCATTCATGGACTTGCAGTCATGGATTGCCCACTCCTGCGCATGAAGAGGTGGACTCTTTGGTTCCAAAACTCCTTGTAAATTTGTGAGTTCCACCCACTTGGACCCTGTTCACCATGAAGTGTTTAGATGTTCTTTGGATTGCTTTTTATGTTGTTTTATGTTGTTTTTGTTGCTTGCACACGGTCATCCTGACAAATACCATCCATATAAAGGGTGGTGGATTCTAGATTATATTTCTTTTCAGTCTCATTCTCGAGCTTCGGGCTTACATTCATGCTTTCAATCATGGATCACCCACTTCTTGAGGTATTTCAGCTTGCTTGGGGGCTTCTTCAAGTTGCTTCAAACATCTGCAGACCGCCCCCACACTCAACGAATTTAACGAATTGAAGTGGGAAAATCACATGCGAGATCATATGAGATCCTTGAGTGTTGCCTGACCGGTGCAGACATGTCATCCAACTAAACGAATCTCTAGCCATGAAAGAAACCCATGAAAGAACCATTGGTTTGTATCTAGATAAAGACAGTCTTACATTTTGCTCCAGCTCCAGGATGCTCCAGGTACATATTCAGGCAAGTGGTGTCCAATGGACCTCAGTCCCATGTTTCACCCTCCCTCCCTTACTCTGATAGCTCGTCCATGCTCCTGCTGAGGGGTGCCCACGTTGGTGGTCACGAGGCGCGCATGCGTGCGGGAGATCATCTGCGGAAAGCGGGTGGAGTCCATGACGATGTCACAGTTGGGCATGCGCCCCACCGTCAAGGACTCCTGTCGCGTCGCGCATTACGCGTCGGCGAAGGCTGAGAGAGACTTGAAGGGTCAAGGGATGTCAAGGGCCTAAAGGAAGTGAAATGAGAAAGACTGGGTGTTCACGGGATCACCCGGGATTTACGGGTTTATGATGGTAGCTTTAGTATAATATAGTATTAGGATGTATTAGGGTTTTGGGGTCTCCAGCAAGTAGGAGCAAAGCATTGTAGTTCATGAGTCAAAAAACATGGAATTATTTGGAAGTCCAAGGCAAACGATGTTCCTTCAGGTCTGGTTCACATGACCTTGGAGAACCACGAAGCTTGAATCGAGCACGCACAGCGGAAACGACGCATGTATCGCGTCACGCGTCATGGCCAGCGGAAGTTCAGCTCCGCAGCAAAACACTGCCAGAAACAGGGGGAAGTGGTGGAGCCGATGTCCACCATCGCCTAAAAACAGAGATCTGCACGAAAAAGCCGTGAATTGATTGGACAGGGAAAAGGTTCCCAACACCCCTCGCGAAACAGAAAGGGACGACCACAGAAAACCGTGGCTGACTGGCCTTGTTGAAATAGATCAGTTGGCTCACCGTCGTGGAGGGTCGGCATTCAGCAGAAAGCCTGGTGTTGGCCGCTTTGTGGCCATGGAGATGTTGCAATCCAATGTGGATGAGTTACCCAGGTTAATGTTGGGTCCCTGTCAGCAAACACTTGTTTGATATGCTGATATGTTGCAAAATTGGGTCGGGTGAATGATGGTGAATGAACAGTGGCCTCGGAATCTGCCCTACATGTCTACTTATTAGTCTAATTACTTCCAACTCCTCTTGAACATCGGCTTTCTCTTGCCAACCCCTACACAAGAAGTTTGGACATGTCATTCATCAGAATCCAAGAAAGAAACAAACAAACACACTTGGACAAGATTCAGCTTGTCGGGCACCCAACTGTCACACCTTCCCTCCAAAAAGACCTCGATTTCTCCAAGAGCCACCACCATTGAAGTAATGTTCTGATCAGACTCATCCCTGATTCCCAAGAACTTCCAAGAACTGCCACGTTGTCACAGTCAGCTTCTCAGGTGATTTCCTTGAGCCATATTCACCTCAGGGTCTTCACCATGCAACCCGATCCCAGTGGCCTCAAAAAGGCGATTCCTCTGTCCTGGCGAAGGATGCCAGAGGTATCACGTGAGCGGGTGCATGGCTGGTAGTACGCAAGTTCTGTTAAGTTCTGTCCATTTAGGATACACCATGATGCACCTATCATAAAAAGAAATCCGGTGCACACTGAAATGCCAACCAGACCAAACATGCTAGGGTTGTCCTTCTCTCTGGTGGCAGGGTTCTTCATTCCAAAGTGGGGTTGGGGTTGTCTTGCGCCCGAGTGTGTCTGGCGTGCTTGATTGCAAACGCCATAATCTGATGCTCCCGACGAGCAATCAGCAATGCGCGTCCCACAATCAGGACTGAATTCCAACCAAACTATATCAAAGTCACTTGTGGTTGAGAAAGTTAAGCAAGATTCCGTAGACTTGGAGGGTGCACACTGGACAAGACTCTGAACATTCCGAAAAAAAAACATATTCATATTGTAGCTACAGGTAAGCGACCGAGAACTACCAACAAGTCGCACCTAGTTTTCCTTGAGCCAAACGGTAGGTAAGTGAGACATGTATTAGACATCCTAGCGTGAAACAACACCCCCCGCTGAACGAAAATGGGAGGAGTGAAGTTATGTACAGTGCACTAATTAAGGACCTACGAAGGTATCCGGTCCCCCGGTACGTGCGAAGCATCGAACCGGAACGTGCCTTGAGATGGAGAGGATGGTTGACCTCAAGGACGGATCACATAATGCACTGTGATGCTTTGATGCTAGGGTTGAACATGTCTCAACTGATTCATGCATGAAAGTTCAAAGCAAGCTCACAAAGATAATCTCTTTTGCGCAGCGGAACTGGGAGTGCAATGCCAACCTTTTAGAAAGCAGGAACAAAGCCATCAAGGCACACGCTCCCGCGTGGCGACAAACACAGCAAAAGATGTGCGCTCTTCATTGCAAGGATTGAGAGCCAAGTTCATCGACCTGAACTCAAACGAATTAGCTGCTGGTTTCAGGCATCCGGTCCCCCGGTGCATCACAGAAACGGTCATCCAGGCAACCGCTCCCGCGGTGCGTTGAGGGAAAACACAGTGCACAAAGACAGCCAAGTCACCCGTAGATTTCATTCTCTTCTCCACAGGCAACAGCTCCCGCTGTGCGTCGTGTTCACCACCTGCGCTGACTCCACCAGTCATGTCCTCGCCAGTCACTGCCACGACCGCGATCATCTTGCCACCAGTTGCGGTTGGATGAAGACCACCAGGAAGACGATGAGGATGACTGCTGCCAATCATGGTATTGATCACTACCGGCAGCTCCTCGCCAGCGATGCTCTGATGTCTCTGCTTGAGTACGTGTAGCTCTTGCCAGACTTTCACCTGGACCTGGTGCGGCCTTGGCCTTGGGAATCACAAGTGCCCTTGTTTCTTTCACAAGGTTGATATCCAAGCCAGGTACAAATTGAGCATCGCCCATCACGAATTCCAGGAGTTCATCCAAGACGTCATCAGGGTCTGTCTTCTCACTTCGCCACTCACCTCCAAATCCCAAGATTGCGGGTCGTTTTGTACCTTGACAATAGTCCGCAGCGAAAGTCTCAGGTCGGTGCAGCCTGTTCTTCCAATAAATGAAGAAGTCCTCGCTCAGGTCAGCATCATTCCCTTTTGCTGGTTCGTTCATGAAGATGACTTTCCCAGCATAGCGATGACCGACGCCTCGAGCAATCATTTCCCTTGTCCTCGGAGGGTCAGGGATGACGGCATCTGATAGGCGTTCCAGGAATTGAATGCAGATTGGAGAGAGGTCCTGGGCCGCACAGTTGAACGCGTAGAAAGCGTCAGTCAGCTGTCGCTGCGATACTGTCATGGACATTTTCTCCGCCTTCTGGACATGGCTTTTGGCGTTCGCTTTCAAGATGTTGATGCCCGAACGAGAAGCACGTTGAACTTCATGGCCAGGCGTCCCCGCCGGCGTCCTCCTCACACCTGTTCCTTGCAGCCTGTCCTCAGGTACCATGTCCATCGTGACTTCGATACCGAGATCGGATGCAATTTCCTCGATCCGAATGAGCTGGGCAGCTTTACATAGATCCGAGGCATTGTTGAGGAAGGTGCCGCATGTGATGCAGGACATCATGCCATGGGTGTAGGTATGTGTGCATGTCGGGCATTGATCTTCTGGCATCTGAATGCCCTCAACGACCATCCATCGAGTGTTGCCATACCCCTCGGCTTCAGGGTGGACCTTGCGCCAATCAAACCGTGGTCGGTTGTAATTGGGCAGCATCTCTTTGGGTGACACTTGATTCTTGTAGGCGTTGAAATTGGGCCTGCGAACGACATACGTGACCTCGTATGTTTCTAAATCAGGATTCTGCTTCCCTGATACCATTTGGTCTTTCACGCCTGGGCGTTCAAACAGTTCACCGTACACGAATGGGGAAAAGGTGTCCACCTTACCGCACCATCTCTCATAGTCACCAAGGACCTGGTAGGTGTACTTTTCCAGTGGGCTTTTCACCATTTCATCGTCATCGGCAACTGGTCCCCCAGTGCGTGCTGAATTGAAGGCTTTGGTTTCACCGGTGATGATGCCGCGATAGTGTGCGTACACATGGTTCGCGAAGGCGTAGCATCGGGATTCCATGTCATACACGTAAATCACGTTCCGGTTTGCCAGCCAGTCAGGGCATAGGATTGTACCAGCAGTGGTCTCAATGAGCCGGTGCCCGTTCAACATCATCATTTGGAGATCCAAGGCAACGCAGATGGGGCGAGTCGCCGCCATCGCTGCATAATCGGTGCCTGAAATGGTCCACGGATCTTCCTTCGTCAAGAATGTGAATCTGGCTCCGGTTCGATTGCCGCCTGGAATCAATCCCATGTTGATGATCTCAACCAGTGCTGCCCGGTGCGTGTAGTGATAGAGGATGGTGGGGGCCACCTCCTTCACCTTTCCCAGCGCACCTCGCGGAACCCGAGGGAATTTGCCGGCCTGGTATTCCACCGAAGTATACTCCTCGTCGAGAGTGACAAAGCGTTCATGCTCAGGAAGTGCGTCTTGCACGTTGTTGCTTGACCATTCATTATGGTTCTGAATCGCTTTGATCCGGAGAGGCGTATATTGGTATTTTCCACCGACCAAAGTCCCCTTTGGCGCAATCCTCACCTCGAGCATGAATCTGTGATTGGATGTAATGACCGTCAGCAGGTCATCGTTGGTAAGGTTGACATCGTACTTCCGCTTGATAAACGAGTACACCTTGCCAAAATCCATCCACAGCCCAGCGTCGAAACTTGGAGGCTGCACCTTGTGCCAGGATTGTTTACTATGCTCCCAGCCACGGAGCAAGCCCGAGACGCGTCGGGAAATCCAGACTTGTTTCGAGTTCAGATTCGCCAAATTGGCAGCACCAGGAACCGATCTTGACTGCAATGCCACAACTTCGTTTTCCCCAAGAGGCGACGAAACGGGAGGCACCGGTGGTGCCCGAGGCATGGCCTTGGCTTTGACAGCTGGTTTTGCTGTCGGAGTCGAATCCGAGGCCACAGCTCCCGCCGGGCGTTTTGGTACTTTGGGCTGAGCTTCCTCTGTTGGCTTCATCTCAACATCGGCCTCAGCTCCCGCCGGGCGTGCTTTTGCCTTCGGTGATGCCGGTTTTTTGTCTTCGACTTTGCAGTCTCGCTTGGCACTTTTGGTGCCCCCGGCTCACTGATGCCTTCGCCTTTGGGATCCTCGGTTGTGGTGCCTTGTTGGCCAGGTCGGGCTCGTTCCCCAGAGTTGTAACCTCACGGAACTTCCTGAGTGCTTCACCAGTGAGCTGAGGGATGTCTTCTTCTGCCATGTAGATGCGAATGACATCGCTTTCATCCTCCTTCTTCCTCAACTGGT